CCAGCAGCTGGGCCTTGGGTGTCCCTCAGACCCTAGTCTGCTAGCCACTCCCACTGTGTTCTCCACAAAGCAGAGCCTGGGGCGCACATCACTTTATAGAGAGGGATGGGTGTCGCAGACACTTACCAGTCCACTAAGGCAGCACTGACTTCTGATCTCGATTGCCTTCTTTCTCCTGCCAGCCACATCTCTGAGCCAGGTCAACTTAACTGGTGGGTGGAATGAAAAGTGCCTGGCTGCTGAGCACCCTGAAGCACACTTGGATATGTTGCCCCTCCCATCTTCTTCCCAAAATGGAAAACCTTTTATGCAAAGACTCCTCTGCATCTAACGGAGAAGCAGAATTTGTTTTCCCTGGCTTGCTGTCTCTTTGAAGTGTGGGCTACTTAGCGGTGCAATTAACCACAAGCCTGCAGGAGTAGAGGCTCGAAGAGTTTCATTTGGGCCTGACAGGAGCTGGGCAGGAAGAGAACACTCGGAAGATGATGAAAAGCCAAGCTTTGAGGAAAGGTGGCAGGGCTTCCTGGCTCGACAGGAGTGAGAGTGGCTGATCTGGCAAGCCTGGCGCGCTCTCTCAATGCTGTGAACCCCAGAGGCTCCCTTCAACACGGGGCGATGGCACCCACACTGCCTCGACAATTTCCTTCTAGCGCGCGGCCTTGCCCTCACAACAGGGCCTGGCGTCTCTCTACTGGCTTAGCATCATTTCCTCCAGGCAGGAGGAAAGGCCACAGCTTAGGGGCCCCCAGGAACACCTGTTTGTCACTGGAGGAAATTCCACATGCCTCATTCTCTTTCTCCATCCTTCTCCAGGCCTGAGATCTGGCTGTGCCCACATTGCCAGCTCCACACCAAGCTTCTGCTCTGGCCACTTGGAGCCACTCACTCCACATACAGTGTCCTTCCGTGTGTCTCTGCGGCTGCGTATTCCGCTTCCTCCATCCTCCAACCTGCTGGATGGTTCACGCTCAGCTTCTAAACTTATTTTCGTGACGCTTCTTTTGCAAAGCCTGTCTCAAGTTTCCTTCATGTCCCTGACTTAAGTCAGACCTCTTCTTTCCCCCTTGGGGCCTCTTGCTTTCTCTGCTCTTTATCCTGTACCACGCATACCTGTTCTCTGTCCACTGCCTCCACTGTGCCTTAAACCTGGGCACTCTTATTTCCTAGAGCAGGTTGTCATTTGTAAATACATTCCTTGACCAGCTCCCTTGTCCTAGGGCTGTCTTGCAATGCACCTTGATGTCCACAAGGGGGAAGGCTCCCTCGTGGGGCCTGGTTTCACAGCTGTCTTGAATTCACTCCAGCAAGAATTCTCAGAAAGAAGCATGACTAAAATTGAGACTTTTTTTCCTCATTGAAATAGAGCAGGGCTGCCGTTGCCAGAGGCTGTCACAGATACTGTTTGTCCATAATATGCAGAAACTATTTTTAAAATGACACGCACTACCACACTGAAAAGCACAGATGCTCACGTGGGGACGGTCTCCCCTGCAACCACTTTAAATCCTGCTGTGCTCATTCACAAGTTTGGAAAGGAACAGGAAGAAAGATCGGGACAGATAATGATGCTAGTTGCAAGGGGTCCACCACTGTGACCTGAGTTCTGTGGCCTCTAAGTGTCCACTATAACCCTGGTCCTCAGGACCGTGTGTGTGGAGTATGAGGACCACAGCGCAGGACCCTAATGCTTGGTGGATATATTTTTTTCTTGTGACCTTTTTATTGGGGTCTATCATGGGTTGTGACTGTCACCTAAGGTGTCTCCTGGTTTTATAAAGCCCCCCTTTGAGCCACCCCACTTCTGCAAGGCACGGAAACGCCTCTCCTCTGCCTCCCAGTCTCACTTCTCTTTGAATGTGTCATCTCGGGCCCGTGCATGGTGCACCAAATGCCAGGAGCTGGGCCACAGCTGTCGCAGTGAAAACTGAAATCGAAAAAAATGACATGCACGCCGTTTCTTGGCATTCTCGGGAACTGGATGTGTTCTCTGCACTTCTGTGGAAGGGCGTGTGAGCCAGCCTGTGAGTGGCAAGCAGACTTGGGTCTGCACCCTCGGTCTGCAGGTAAGGGGCACTGGATGTCATGAATGCTAACACCGAGCTGCCTGGAGGATCACCCCAAGCCTAGAATAAACAGCCCCGGTCCCCAGCCCCATCGCCAGGCCTGCAGGGACCACCAGGTGCCTTGAATCTGCCTGGGCTTGGGTAGCTCTGCCCCCGTAGACCCCAGCCTCCAGCATTCATGGGCTGTCCTAGCAGTCCTGTGGCATGGCCAGGTGCCAGGACACTTGCCCTGGACTGGCCAGGGATGCAGACATGCAGAATCCCAGGCAGGTCTCCAGTCCAGACCAATGCCAGGGCCTGTTGTTTCCTAGCCATGTGGTCTTGGTAACCTACCCTCCTCCTCTGGGCTTCTACTCTCTCATGTAGAACACGGGACTGACAGTGTTCATCTCACAGAGTTTTTCTGACTATTAAACCACTTTGTTTTCAATCACCTGACACTTAGCAATTCATAACCACGAGAGTCACGGCTGCAGGACTTGGCAGCCATTGTAAGGAGCTAGATAATAAACCTCTTTAGTTCTGCAGCCCATGTAGGTGGTAGGGTACTAGTCTCATCTGTGGCTGTGGTGTAGAAGAGGCCCTAGATGTTACATAAAGCAGTAGCCTGGTTGTTACTAATAAAACTTTATTTATAAGGTCTAATTTCTAAGAGGATGTCTGCTCTGGTGACTGCATAGTTGAGAGGTGGGAAAGGGGGTAGAGAACGCAGAGTTGGCTTTGTGATGTGGGGAAGGAAGGAGGCAGATGTTCCCGTGCAGGGTTCAGAAGGGTTGGTACAGCCTTTTACAGCAGGCTCGGACACCACTTCGGGATTTACGAGAGCAGATATTCCGTGTTCCTCACATGTACATAGCATTGCAGTATATGAGCATATGGGCACTGTGCTAAGCTGAGCCCGGTCGTGAATCAGTGAAGACGGAGCAACCAAGGAATCCATGCAGGCGTGGAGGGGATGTGGCAGATACTGATGATCTACGGATGGAGCTGATGTCACTAGCAGATACCGAAATGTGTCCAAGTCCCCAGGCTTCTTCTGCATAATCACAGATATTCAGAGTTGCCCCCTGGCCCCTTCTTGTCACTCAGACCACACAGAATTCTCCTGGCTGCTTCCTGTGCAGCCTTTGGAGGGCTTAGTGGCCATCCCACTACCCCAGTTCCCTGCCCAGTGGAAGAGGCAGGGAGAAGACTAGCCAGAGGGTGTGGCCATGGAGCCCACTGCTCCCGGGGAATAGATAACTGGTGGAGATACAGCCTGTCCTCCCACCTCCCGGGATGAGTGCCTAAGCAGTCCCGATCCTGTGCTAACAGACGTGGTAGGACCATTACAGGTTCCTCTCGAGGGGCTGATGCAGCAGAACGTGAGCTGGATACGGAAGACTCCTCCCCTGACTCACTAAGGTGTTCTGTCCCCAGTCAGCCAGAGCATCCACCCCCTGAAGATGTCTCATGACATGAAGTTGATCATAATTGCTGCCACACATACCAGCAGGGACCAGTTTCTTGTGAGCCCAGGCTTAGGCGCTTCGTGCCAAACGTGGTCCTGAGAGGCAACAGGTAAAGGGGGCCACCCATTTCTTTGGTTGCCCCTGGGGTCTGCTAGAAAAAAGACCCCAGGTGAAGGTGATGAGGGGTCTGTGATTGGGTGACCATGGAGCCCTGCGGGTGGTTGGACGACAGGTAGCAGGTGAGGTACTGGGGCCCATGTGACGAGAAGCAATGGCACCCTGAGGACAGAGATGTAGTCTGGTAGATGGCTCTGGACACCATGCACAAAGAACGTGTGTGTTTCAGGGCTGCTACTGAGAGTTCTCAAGTGAACATCTTCTCTAGGGCCTAGGGTTCTGGCCATGACCACAGGTCTCCTGGGTCTAGCCAGAAGGGGACTGATTTGACATCCTAATAGATGGCTTGCAGGCTTCTCTGAGGGGCTTGCTTTTCCTTTAGCAAGGGCCTTGGGGCTGTGGATGACTTTGCTTGGAAGTAATGCAGGTTTTCCACACAACAGTGGCTAAAACCAGTCCTCTGAGGTCTGAGCTGGGCAGCCCTCTAAAATGCAAACATCACTGTCCTTTGGAGGCCATGGCTTACAGCAGGGCTGGAGAGAAGCTGTTAAGGGCCATGACCCTTCATATGAGACCAGTCTCTGAGATGCAGCCATGGCTCCCTGCTGAGTCACTATGGGGTCTGGAGCCAAGTGCTCTGCTTCCAACACTCCTCTGGTGTGGGAGCCCACAGAGGTGGCTTGGCTCTATCTTGACAATAAGGTCAGAGAGTTCGAGCCTATTATTGCTCCTTCAAGGTCAAACAACAAGATGTTTTAACCTAAGGTGAAGCTACTGGATGTTTTGTTCCTCAGTGTTTTGGACTTTTGTTTTCTCCTTGTATCATGATAAAAAAAAAAGTCTTTTTGCCATCCCCTTTGGTTTGGGGTATGGCAGGGCTGTGAACCATAAACTTGAGGCTGCAGTATTCACTGATGGTCCTCTTGAATCTATCCTATGTCTATTTCTTTTATGTCTCAAACCAGGTTGGCCTCAAACTCACAGATTCACCTGCCTTTGTCTCCCGAATACTGGGATCAAAGACGTGCACCTCTATCGCCCAGTGTTGTTTACTTTCTAAGCCTCAGTTTCCCCATCTGATCAATGGAGACTCTACAGTTATTCCATCACTGTGGATGGTGGGATGCACCCAGCACAGAGCCCACCATGAGCAGGGGAACCTTCTTCATAACTGGGAGACGCCTTTGAGCCACTGTTTAAAGGTGTAGCTGAGAGTGTAGAAAAGACTCATTACAGAGTTCCACATGGTTTGTGGATAGACTGTTACCCCACCTCATAGGCACTGCAGGGCATTACAGCTCTTCTGTGGTAGTTGGAGGGTATGTGCGTGGGTGGAGACAGAAGGAGCACCTCACACTAGTAATGGTCTCCAAGGCCTTTATTGAGAAGGGGAAGAGCGTCTACAGTTGACTGATGGGCACTGGGCAAGGAATGTAACAGTCCCACGGGGAGAGGAATACAGAGGAGGAGAGCCAGTCAGGGTGTGGGAAGGGTCCTCTCCTCCCAAAAAGGCACTGATGGGTGAGCACCCTGGAGCGGGGTGAGGGGGGAGTTATACACACAGGGTAGGCAGAACACAGGCGGTCTTGAAGCTAAATACAGCAAGGCAAAGGTGAACAGCATCCTTGAAGCCACAGCTGCCCAGGACTCCCCCGGACAGGAAGGCAAGGCCCCCCAGAAGGCTGGCGGAGCTTCGGAGGAGCAGCCCAGCCTTTCCTCTTAGTGTTTTGTGCAATTAAAACAAAAACAAAATAAATATAACTTACACACTTCTTAAAGGGCACTAAAGTCTGGTCTGGGGAAAGCGGCTGAAGCAACCTTCGGAGCGTGCAAAGCAAGGCTGGCCACCAAGAAACCTGGTGGCCCAAGAGCAGGAGGGCTCCCTGGACTTGCATCTACACACTGGTGCATGTAGTCTGTCCTGTGTCCCAGCACCTGCGTAGCCAGGACTTTGGGAGTCTCCATCAGGTACATGAACATGGGTTATCAGATTGCCAGAGGTTCCGGGAAATTCCATCTAAGCTCTATCCATCCCAACGGGGCAGGAAGGAAGGGGACAATGGTTTGGGAGATAAAGTGTGGGTGTTAGCATGGTAAATACAAAAACCCAATGAAGCAAAACACCCTTGGTAACAGAATAACCCTAGAGATGCCTCTCTACATCACCTTACGACATTCCCCAGCACAAAGCACTGTCCAGCCCGGTCTTAAGCTCTTGCTGACCGGCAGCTAGTCACAGCACCTGAGCACGTTATTGTGACAGGTGACTCCTTCTTAAAGTGCTTGGCCAGTTATGTTCTCTTACATACATTAAACTGGTCCCTGGGATTTTTGTTCATAGCGTAGTTTGCTTTAGCAAACTTTTTTTTTTCTGAGATCAGAAAGGGAGTTGTGGCCAGGTCGTAGCTATCGACTCTTAGAATTAATGACGACCCTCCCCAGCACATGGTTGATTACAGACCACGGGGCCCTCTTAAGCCCTCAGGCAGCTACAGCTGGGGAGTGCCAGAGCTTGCTGCCCAGTTGCTACTTTCCTCCCCCACTTCAGGCTGCCTGTCTTCCCAATCACGTGCTGTCACAAGGTCTGGGCTCGCCCGTGGGGGCGTGGGGGGGGGTGACCTTTAGAAAGTCAGCCCACATAGGAGCTCACCACCATCTGAATAGGAGCCAGGAAGTTTAAAAGAGTTCCTTTTTTAAAATCTGTACTTATACATCCTTGCGGGTCCCACCTCCCGCCCCCACCAACTGTCACTCACCCACCAGCATGAAAGGGGAAACACACGTGTCACATGGGCCAACAGTTCTTCTAGAAACCCCAGGGAACTAGGGTAGGCGGCCAAGGTGGCCACCCCTGCCCAAAGCGATATTGCTAGGTGTGTACACGCTGGCTTACCCCATTTCCCAAACAGCGTCTGCTGGCCTGGTACCCAGAAGAGCATCTGTCCATGTGACCCAGGGTTTCTCAGTAGAAGAGGAGATGACAAGCCCAGGGGAGCAGAGGGTAGCTCCAAAGGGCAACAGCTGGGCGTGTGGTCTTTGAAAAGTCACACAGACCGTACAGTACACTCTTTTTAGTCAGCCAGGTCCCCCGCTTCACAGTTGAAGTGGTGATTAAGAATGGTACCCCATGGCCCTTCAAGCAGCTCAGGACTCCAGGAAGGAAAAGGCTTGGCAGAGCCATGGGCACCCCTGTGAGCCCTGGGAACTATCCACATGATGTGGAGAAACACTGGCCTAAGCCCTTCAAGCTGGAAGAACAAGCGATTTGAAGGGAAATTTAGAAATCATTCCAGGAGCCCAAATCCTGCCTCCCTAAGGCCTAGTACTGCCCGAACTGTTAGATGTTTCCCCATGGAGGGACTCGGGGTACAGGAGTAGAGGTACCCGGCTACCAAGGATTTGGAGGGACAAAAGAGCAGTCTCCTCCCCCAAGTGTGGCAGGCTCTCAGGGCTGCTGCAGATCCCTGGAGGTGGGTATGGGCCTTGAGTCATCTACCCCAGCTCTGGACCTATCCACAGCAGGGCAGATCTAGGGGCACTGAGCAGTGGCTCTAGGAGATATGACATTGTCCCTGGAAGCTCACCTTTGCAGAATGACCCCTCTGAATTCACAGGCAGTTGGTCCCAGATGGAGGAGCAAAGGTCTTTAGAAACAGTCAAAAGCCGCTCCCCATACTCCCAGCTCCTAATCTGGCCTGATTTCCAAGGTTTAACAACAACAAGGTGGGGTCCTGGTTTAGCATCTCTAGAAAGGCCACACAGTGTTCTTGGAAAGCTGGGGCCTCTCACTGGTGGATTCTTTGCTCATGAGCCACATGCAGGTTCCCCAGAGGTTGTGTTCCCAGCTCCCAGAAGTCAGGACTCTGGCCTGGCTTCAGGGCCCATGGTGGGAGGCACCAACGGGGCTGTATAGACCGATGGCACCAGCCACCAGGGGGCAGCAGGGCTCTACAGGTAGCCAGTCTGGGCCTGAACTTTCTGGGGGTCTCCCAGAGGGAGGCTCAATCTCTCAAGTCCCCCAGCAGCCTCTTAGACCCATGCGGGCCCTGAGTACAATGGGCTGTACAGGATGTGGGGCCTGGCTTTGGGTAATTCTCTTCCAGAAGGTAGTTCTACTTAGAGAGAATTAGAAACGCCACCTCCAGGCCCTTGCGTAGGAAGGAAAGAGACCTAGAGAATCTCTTTTCTTCCCTAAGTGTCCTGTAGTGCAGATGGGAAGCTCTGTTCTTAGGTGGGCGCTCAGAGAAGAATGGAGACAGGGGAAGCAAGGAACATGGGAGAGGCAGAGGTGGCAGGCAAGGTGGCTGGGTAGGCAAGGTGGCGGTGGCCTCAGGTGAGGGGGCTCCCCTGGGACATTTCTGTCAGGATGTCGATGAGGTTGTTCAGCCCTGAGAGGTAGCCATCCTCCCGGTTCCCCTCCTGCCAGGGGACGTCGTGCCGCAGGGTCTGGCCTTCTGGCAGAGGTGTGGTTTTCCCAAAGTCGATCATCCACACCTTGGCTTGCTCCTTCTTGTCATGGATGAAGAGGAGTGAGCTGCCAATGACCTGGGGGGAAGAAGGAGGGTGAGCAGGGGGCAGGGGAGCAGGGGGGCAGGGCCAGGACCAGGGTGGGGCAGGATGAGCGGGAGAAGAGGTGGATGGATGTGACAGGGCCAGGAGGAGGGAGGTGAGCAGAGCCTGGGGGAGAGGAGTTGGGCTCGGAGGGGGAGTGGGGCTACGATTCACAGGAGTACTTAGGTATTTGAGAGACTTAAGGAAACTCTGAGGCTATATGATCTTGAGGGAGGCTTGGATCAGCAATTTCGCTTCCTACTGGAACTGGGGGTGATGGTGAGGGGTCTCAATCAAGCAGGTGAGGTGTGCCTGTCACACTGAAGGCTCAGTATCCTACCTCATGGCACTTGAAGAAGGGAGAGACTTCCAGGGTTTCTCGAATGGCCTTCAGCCGGTCCCGGTAGGCGATCTAAGGATAGAGGGGATCACAGTTTCACATTCTCTCTCTCTCTCTCTCTCTCTCTCTCTCTCTCTCTCTGTGTGTGTGTGTGTGTGTGTGTGTGTGTTTGGGGGTGTGTGTGTGTGTGATCAGATCTATTTAGTGCATTAGAGTCACTGGATGACAGGTAGCAATGACCTTGTGTTCATCATTTTCTACAGCCTCACCTACCCCAGCTGAGCTCAGAATTACACCATCCCCAGGAGACTATGTGCCCCTCAACCTTCTCCATGAGGGGGTAGCCCATCCCAGCATGCCAGCCATCAGAGTCAGAGCCCAGAACTGGTTGCCATGGTAACTTCCTGACCACAAAGTGCCGTGCCCCTGACTAAAGACAGGATAAGGGGAAAGCTACCATATGTCTACATGAGCCTCCTCCACAGAGCCTTACAGATCTTCCGGTGTGAGCAGTGGGGTGCCTAGTCATTCCCAAGGGCTAACTCTGTGAGTCTCGTCACCCAGAACTACAGAGTCACTAGGGAAGCCATTATCACAGGGTTCCAGCACTGACATAGTCAGGCGGGACCAGTCAGCAGTGCCCTGGCATCCCTAGCAACAGCAATCAACCCTTCTTGCAAATGCAATTGGTGGCATGATTCTGAGGGTCTGAAATGACCCAAACAGATGCCCAGGAACGAGAGAGGGCAGTCACTGCAGAAACCAGAGGACGGTCACTGCAGACCGGCTGTGTGCATTCCAGTCTTATAGGTCTGGGCCCGAAGGCAGCAGGAAGTGCAGGGACTTTCTGTGTCAGGCCAACTCAGGTGTGACCCCCTAGCTCTGTTTTTCTCTATCTGTGCCCCTGACCTCCCAAGTCTCCTTGTCTGCCAACTAGAGACGAGAATGCCAGCTTGCTTGTCCTCACCAGAGGGCTTCTGAGGGGATATGATGAACACTCAGCACAATGCTCAGCCAGCAGCAGGTGCTAAAGAACCCCCTCTGTGGTTGTTCCCTGACAGGGAAGGGCAGTGTGCTGAGACAGAGTGATTGACAGCTCAGGACAACGAGTAAGTGGTCCCCAAGCTTCTCAGAACACCCATGAATTCTGGGAACAGCTACATCAGCTTCATACAGAAGTTTGGGACTAGGGTTTCAACACCTTTCCTAGCTCACCTAGGTTGGAGAAGGGATGGTTCCCCGATCCCAAACCCTGACTCACCAGGATGTTCTGGTTTCCTTTAGTGAATTCTCTGAAGGCCTCAGTGACCTGCTCCCTTGTTTTGGTCTTCTTGAAGTCACGGTTCACGGAGCCATCTTCCTTCTGAGGAGGGAATCACCCAGAGGCGGTCAGCAGAAGCCCGTGACCTCTGTTCATGAGCATGACCCTCACGCTGCTCTGTGGAGGTGGTCAGGCGTTCAGGGAAGGCACAGCAAGGCAGGTGCAACCAGACAGTTGTCATCTGGCACAGGGGAGCCTGGCCCAGGCCCCAGCAGAGGAGCTCAGAGTGGCACTAGACCCTGGGCCACATGCTGCTTAGGAAGTCTTGGTGGCGTGAGGGTATCTGAGACACAATGGAGAAGCACTCTGTTCTAAGCAAGGCCAGCAGCAGCCCAAGGTAATCCACAGCTTCAGCTCCTGCTCAGAAGCTTGTTCCCTGGACCAGTGCCTCACAGTGTGTCCTATTAGTGTGCCAGCAGCCATCTGGACGATCAGGCTAAGTGTCACCCTGTCACAGGCTTGTGTTTAAGTGACCCTCGTTTAACAGTGACCTCAAGCATGAGAGGCACGATATGACCATTAAAAAAAAAATGTTTGTTTATTATACAGTGTTCTGCCTGCATTGTGCCTGTATACCAGAAGAGGGCACCAGATCTCATTATAGATGGTTGTGAGGCACCCTGTGGTTGCTGGGAATTGAACTTAGGACCTATGGAAGAGCAGCCAGTGCTCTCAACTTGTGAACCATCTCTTCAGCCCCAATGCTGGCAAATTTTATGATATGGCAAACAGAAGCTGTAAAGTGTCTCACGTGTGTGTGCGCATGTATACACACATACTTGTGTATGTAAGTGCACTTGTTCACATTGGTTCTCTAGATTCTAGACAGTTAGTTCAGGTCTTGCAGTGCACTGCAGACCAAGGGGCACTGTGCAGATTCTTCCAAAGCCAAGGTCTAAGCCTGGGTTGCTGCATCCCTACGCCCTCATCCACCATCTCCAGGTTTTGAGCTCAGTGCTCCTTCTGTTCAGACTGGCCCGGGCAAGCCAAGTACGCAGGGCTCTGTCCTTTTGAGACAAAGGGGGAGAAAAGGTGGGATCGGCAGGAGCTCTGACAGTTTCACCCATCTGCCTTCGGCTGGAAACAGCTGACAGCTGTAACTTCAGGGAGGCTTGCTGCAGGAAGACAGCAGGCAGCTGGTTCTGAGGGAATGGTGGAGGGGATGGAACCTCAGCGGAACCTTCCTCATGGGGCCTCCCTGCCAACCAGGACAAGGGAGGGCAGATGCCAGCGCAGGCAGTTGGCCTCTCCCTGCCAGCGGATGCTGTTGGCTGTGCGATTCTGCGGCCAGGAGAGGACCATGCCAGGGTGAGAGGTGCCAGGGTGTGCTGTTCAGACAGGCCACAGATGGAGAGGACACGTGTATACAATTTGCATCCAGTCTGAGAGCTGGATACTGCCAGGAAGGAAGGCTGGTTTCAGAAGACAGGGAAGGACAAACGGCTTTCTCCGTCCCCAGCTCTAGAAGCCAGTGAGACACTGGTGATCACAGGAACTCACATCTCCACGCTCTGTGAGAGAAGGCTGCAGGAACCTCACTCATTTCAGTTACCTAACTCTGATTCCACGCTGGAGAGGGGGTCAGGCGGACCAAGCCTGGGCAGAGAAAGGGGGGACCAGGGTCCCTGGAGGGATGGCCACCTGGTCTGACAATGAGGAGTCTGTATTCCCTCTGCCTGCTCCCAGCTAGGTCTTGCAAATCTAATAGTTAGGGACATGGACTGGAACATAGGGACAAGGACAGTCTTCTGAACTCCTTTTCAGGGCACCCAAGAGCAAAGGATGGACGATGTGTTTTCCAAGGCGATCCCAGCTAGTCACACACCTCTCCTTGTTGGTACCTCACTGGCAGGGAGCCAACATCTTTCATGTGGCAGGCATATATGCTGGCTCCTATGTAGGGTTTTCTGTACAGTTCTAGAAATAAGCCACCCCTACCCGACGTGTGTGAAGGGTCTGACGGCCTCTCACAGTCAGCCCACCTGCAGCACCCCTGAGGCTGGCTGTCCACACTTAGGCCTGTATAGGTGAACCTTACAGACTCCAGCATCCCCAGGTCCTCATTGCCATGGAGAACTGAGAGGCCTCAGCATCCTCAGACCACACATCACAGGTCTCACCTTAATGCCCTCGATCCTAAAGCCCAGGGTAGCCGTGGAACTGATAGTCTCTCGCCACTGCATGTAACGTGGCTTGGTCACAGCCCTCTGGGCTTTCTCCTCCTCAGTGGGGGCCTCAGGGTCCACCTCAACCATCTTCTGGTACATGTCCTTCCGCAAGCTAGGCTTCTTCCGGGCCTTGGTGAGTTCTTCCTCAAGGTATGTCCTGCATGGGAGAAGAAGGGCATGAGTTCTGGGGCTGGGTTGCAGCTCCCTGTAGCCATGGACTGTCTGGGGAATGAAGACCTGAGCTGGCTGCATCTGGTACCAGGACAATGGTCAAGATAGCAACATCTAAGACGAGGCATATCCACTGGGAAAGCCACATACACTGTTTGAGCTGATTTGAGGAAGGCTGTCCCCAAGGCTCTCAGAGCACCTTGATGCTGGCCCTGTGAGGGCCTGATAAGCTCAGGAGTCCCCTCCAAGAGGCCTTTTGTAGGTGTCAGGACAGTGTTCCACTTGTGGCGAAGAGACAGAGGGCGGGGTTTTCTCTTGACACTCTGTTGTGCCCTGGCAACCTGGAAATCAAGATTTCTGTCCTTCCAACCTGTCTTCCTGTCCTCATGCAGCCAGAGACTGGGCTGCATCTGTTTTGTTTTTGTTTTTTGTTTTTTTTTTTTTTTTTTTTGCAGCAGGGTTCTTCTAAGCACCAAGGGCAGCATAAGTGGGAGCTGCAATGACCCATACTGTAGAGGGAGCAGAGATGACCTATACTGGAGAGGAGCAGAGATGACCTATACTGGAGAGGAGCAGAGATGACCTATACTGGAGAGGAGCAGAGATGACCTATACTGGAGAGGAGCAGTGATGACCTATACTGGAGAGGGCTGCTCAGGTCTCTGTAGCCCATCTGTGTCTCAGAGATAAATCTGCCATACTAGGTCACTAAGCCTCTGATACCTGGGAGACTACCAGGTATCATGAATGACCTCATTCGCTTCCCTTTGCTGTAAGTGGAGTCTGCAGGCTAAACAGTGAGAACACTAAGCTCCTGGGAGAAGTGACAGACAGAGACAGGCCAGGCTCAGAGCAGCCTGGAGCAGAGTCCTTGGTCCAGAATTCTGGGTACCAATCATGGTCCCCACACTACCCTCCCAAACTTCCATCACCACCTCCAACTGGAAACATGACTCACCCCGACCTTTCCCCTGTTATAACCCTTTCAGCCGTGTGCATGCTGCCCAGGGCCCCATGAGGCAGCAGTCAGCAGTTAGCTGCAAGATAGGGAAGTGGGCCCCTTGCACCCTGCGTGGGTGTAAGCTGCCCTCAGAGGCACCCTCCCTTCTCTCCTGCCCACTCTTCTCCCCTGCCCCCCAGGCACTGTCCCAATACCCCCCTCCACATCTTTCCCAGAATGCCAGTCTGGGTCCCAGAACAGAAAGACCCAAAATCTTCATCGTACAAAGAAGATGATTTCCAAAAGCCCTGCACCCTTTGGTATTTACACTGTAATAAAATCCCCAACTCCCTGGGATACACGCGTGTAAACGGGTCCCGGCTATTTGGGAAGATGGTAGGGTGTGCACATTAGCTCTGGTTGGGTCCTTGCATGTGTGCACACCCATGTACTCATGCATGCAACACACCACCGTGCACACAGATACCAAGTTGACAGTGGACCTGTGCATCGTCGGGGAGGAACTCAGGCCCTACACTCCTAAGGGTGCAACCCAGGCCTGCTGGGCAGGCAGTAGCCACACTTCTGCAAACAGGTTCTCAGTAGCGCCTTAAACAGGAAGCAGACACCAAAGTTACAGCCATGTCCAGAAGGATCTTTCTCCAGAGCGGCCCCCACAGCTTCAGTGAGGCAGAGTCTGTCACTCCTCAGGCACAGAAGGGAGCTTGGAAGGGATGTTCCCAATGGATACTAGCTGGGCAATAGGTCTATTAGAGGACCCACTGGGGGCCAATCACTGTCCTGCTGCAGAGGGAAGGCCTGGGCTCCATCCCTTGTAGGGGAGTGGAGACTTGCTCGCCAACTTCTGGAGCCTGGAGAGTAGATCTGGGGTCACTAGACCTGTTCCCTGATGGCCGGAATCTGAGGCTGATTCAAGAGAAAGGAAGGGAGGTGGCAAGTCCATGGGAGACCAACAGGCATCATCAGGCCGAGGCACGGACAGCTTTTGCAGAGCTCAGGGGCTGAGAAGCAGCCATAGGTCAGGATGACAGAAGACACAGACACAGTGAATGGGAAGTTATTGATGCAAGGATGCCTACGAGCAGTGTGAGCGCCTGTTCACTTGGAGCCAGATCTCGGGAACACCCGGTGTAAGATGCCTCCAGGGTCCAATGACTTCCCTCAGTGCCACCACCTCTTACCCACCATGACTAAGCCCGGCTCTGCTGGTGGGCCTTCCCACTGTTTTTATAAACCTCATGCCCTCCCTGAGACTTGGTGTTTGACAAGAACCTGTGTCTCAGCCTCTTCCTGCAGCAAGGACAGGCCATGCGCTGGTGACAACCACGGACCCCTCATCTCAGTACAGGCACAGAGGGCTATGTTTCTGTACTACTGCATTTGGGAGAAAGCCACAAGTTATGATCCAAAGAGGACTAGCCTGCCACTCCAGGGAGCTCTGTGGAGATTGGACCCCTGGCATGTCCAGTGAAGGCAGGCCACAGCTGAGGTCCTGGGGACACCTATACTATGCTACTACCTGGGACGGTATCCATGGAGACTCCTGCTCAACTGAGAGCATAGCCTACCCTCCCAGTGTGGCTGGTGTGGGGTATGGTGGCTGGTGTGGGGCGTGCTGGGACGGTGTGGCTGGTGTGGGGCGTGCTGGGACGGTGTGGTGTGGCTGGTGTGGGGCATGCTGGGACAGTGTGGTATGGCTGGTGTGGGGCGTGCTGGGACTGTGTGGTGTGCTGGTGTGGGATGCACTGGGACGGTGTGGTGTGGCTGGTGTGGGGCGTGCTGGGACGGTGTGGTGTGCTGGTGTGGGATGCACTGGGACGGTGTGGTGTGGCTGGTGTGGGATGCACTGGGACGGTGTGGCTGGTGTGGGGTGTGCTGGGATGGTGTGGCTGGTGTGGGGAGTGCTGGGACGGTGTGGCTGGTGTGGGATGCACTGGGACGGTGTGGCTGGTGTGGGGAGTACTGGGATGGTGTGGTGTGGTTGGTGTGGGGTGTGCTGGGACAGTGTGGCTGGTGTGGGGAGTGCTGGGATGGTGTGGCTGGTGTGGGGAGTGCTGGGACGGTGTGGTGTGCTGGTGTGGGGAGTGCTGGGACGGTGTGGCTGGTGTGGGGAGTGCTGGGACGGTGTGGTGTACTGGTGTGGGGAGTGCTGGGACGGTGTGGCTGGTGTGGGGAGTGTTGGGACGGTGTGGTGTGGCTGGTGTGGGGCGTGCTGGGACAGTATGACTGAGGCATCTAGTACTGTGCTCAGAGTACAGAGTGCACAGACCTTAGGGTCTGTGTGTGGGGAAGGTAGAGCTAGGGTGAGTGCTGCTTCCAGGGAGACCTCCCCTTCCTTAACCCCATAGGGTTAACTAAGTCCCTTCAGACAGAAGAGTTCTGAGGCACAAAGAGAGAGAAGCTAACAGGCTAGGAGACAAGGGAAGCCCAAAGGGATGGGTACCCTGCCCCTGGCAGTTCCCCAGGGAACAATCAGCCACACAAGGCAGGAGGCCCAGGCAGTGCTTTCGGGTATAGCTGCACCTGTCTGGGCACCAGCAAGAGCACCCAGGGGGACCGTGCATGCGCCTACCTCCCTCTCCTGCAGGCAGACTGAGCCTGGGCTTCCCATGTTGGAAGGAAGGGCAGGGCCTCTGCTTAAGTGGGCATATTCCAATGTATCGTGGAAAGAATTTTCTGGAAACAGAAATAAGACAGCCCGAGATCTGAGGCCATGTGTCGGCTACAGGGACATTCTGCTTTCTCCCTCACTCACCCTAGCTCCCTGGGGGACAAGACATGCAGGGCTTCGGAGTGGAGGAGGAGGTAGTCAGTGATGAGGATGAACTAACAGCAGGGCCTGTGTTTCTCCATGACCCCAGCCCTGCTCTGGGAACGAGGGAAAGGGACACGTCTCGGTCAGCTGGCAGGGACTGATTTTAGGACAGAACTCCCAGGAATGAGAAAGGATCTGTTGTTGGCTGAACCCAAGCACGCCGAGCCTTCCTCCTCAATCTCTTCATTTAAGAAACAACATTTGATGGGCTGGGGAGACAGTTCAGGTGGTAAAGGGCTGGCCACCTGGGTAAAGCGGCAAGCACTTGTCATCCTGGGGCTGGGCGAGTAGAGACAGGTGGCTGCCTGGGACTAGAAGGCCACCCAGCCCACCTAATCAGAGAAGCCAAGGTCATGAGAGATGAGGAACAAGACCCAAGGTTGAACTCTAGCCTCCAAACGCACAGCATACACACACACACACACACGCACACACACACGCACGCACGCACGCATGCACACAACCACACTCATATGCACCCACCCACATGCTAAAGAAATAGATCAAATCAGATACAGGCTTTAGCTCTGAGCTCAGACCACTGTTCAGTGGAAATCAGTCTGCAGTGGAAATCAGGCTCTCTGGGGTGAGCATGCAGTACTGGACACCTCAGAGGCTGACAATGACAGCCTGGAGGTAGAGGTAGTGTCCACTTCTGCCTGAGGCTTTATGGCCCTTCAGGCTCTGGAGTTCTCCGGAGTCACTTCAGGCCCACCTGTCACCTACCACAGGGGCCTTGGTAGCTCCCAGACTCCATCTATAACTGCACCCCAGTGGCAGTTCCTTTTCTTTTTTGAAGTTAGCATGTACTATAAACCAGCTCCATGGTCCCTCTCCATTCCTTTCTCTGCTGCAGTTCACTTACCAAGAGGTCATTGTCTTGCTTCCTCCCTGCTGGCTACCCACCCCACCTGACTAGTGTGCAGCTCCTTCTGCCTGCTCCCCAAGAGGCTCAGCACCCAGCCAGAGCCTTCTCCTGCTCACTAGAGAAGAGAAGCTCTTGGCAGGGCAGAGCCCTACACAGCCGGGCACGATGGGGAGGAGCATATGCACCAAGGAGCCTGGCTCACCTGATGCCCATCTTGCAGTCCATCACGCAGGGCGAATCGAAGTCAGCCAGCAGGTCATCCATCTGGTTGTAGCGCTCCCCATCCTTCACCACGTCCCCATGGTAGGCGGGCACGAAGGGTCTCAGCACGTCAGCCATCAGCCTGTCCAGGCAGCGCTGCTCAGACTCACAATGCTTCTTTAGGATACGGCCATTGGCAGCTGCCTTGAAGCTCCCTGCAGAGCAAGTAGGAGGAGGGCCTCCAGCCTCAGTGGAAGTCATGGATATCTGGGGAACCCCCCATTCCCAACTCTTGCAACAATCCCTTGGGAGCTGCATCAGAACTGTCCCCCACCCATTGCAGGCTACAATATCGGCTAAGCCCAGGGTTGAAGGTGTGGCCATTTGTAGACTTTGAATCCTGGTCACCCGCTCACTGACTGTAACCCTGGCTGTTCTATGTCTCCTCTGACTCCAGGCTTCTCACAACTGAAGATATCAACAGGGCTGTGCATAGTTCTATTCCTCAGTATTGCTACAAGCACCCCCCACCTCAGCCCTACTTCTTTACCAAGCAGGTGTCCCCAAGTCTTAGGAGAAAAAACTCAGTGCCTGGATAGGGGACAGAGTGGGCCCAGGCCGTCTGGGCAGTGCTCCTTCAGGACCACACCCTCAGGGAATATTCACAAAGGGTATCCATCTACGTCTTGGTCTCAACCTGTGTTGGCCTGAAAAGAAACCGCAGGGCCATGAAGTCATGAGGGCTATGGAGTGGCTATAGAGGTGTTCCCAGAGGACAATACATGATAAAAGGCTCCATATGGGGTCTAGCTGACTCCGCCAGCACCTTGGTGACGATGGGGTGACGTAGCTGCAACTCCCATCAACTCAAGTTTTTTTCTATAGAGACTGTATCTCCACTGACATTGTAGCCCCTAAAGCATGGTGATGCGGGCATACACAGCGGCTGCTCACTCAAGTGGTTTAGCTTTGCCTCTGTCCAGTATCACCAAGGGTAAACAAGCCACAAAGGGTCGATCTGAAGCTGTGTTGGCTTGAGAAACAAGGGAAGACTGGGAGCATTAGGGACAGGATGGGGAGATGAGTATGTTCTTGGGGATGGAGTGGGAAGAACTTTGGAAAGATCACCTGTCCACAAGGCAATGTAAAGGCCACACCTTCTTCCAGGGTCTGTTCTAGGGCTGTCGCCTCCTGGCACCAGCCTCCCCACCTCCCACATCCACCAGGTACCTCCCTAAGGGAGCTGAGCCCACTACCTGCATGTCCTGCCAGCTGGATCCAGGGGTACTTCTTCTTGAAGGACATGACGAAGGGGGACCACTGCACCATATTCTTTATCTTCCTCCATGACTTGCTCTGAAAAGCAGCAAACAGCGCTCTGAGTGACAGACACAAGCACTGTGTTCCAATCAGAGAGATTTAGAGCAGGTAACTGAATGCCCATGGCCACTGGGCCTGAGGAGTCACACACACCCCTCAGGCATAGGTGGGTTCCAAACACCTTGCTGGCTGTGTGGCAGGCACACTCACAAGCAGCTTTGCCACAGTTTGCAAACAGGTTGAACAAGGAGCTCAAGGGATTTCTTAGTGGCTGTTCAGAGGTAGGTGAAGAAGACAAGCCAAGTGCTCCCAATTCAGGGCTCTTTAACCCAGACCCTTCCTCAGCGGGAACAGTTAAACACACACACACACACACACACACACACACATACACACACACACACATACACACACCGCTCCTTTTTTGTATGCCCTCCCCCACAGTGTCTCGGCTTCTTCATCTGTCTAGTGAGGGGCAGACAGCTCTTGGGACTCACGCATACTAGGACTCTGGAAAACGACCTCCTTGTACCAAACGCAGTGATCTCAGCTAGAGGGTCCCTGTCACCCAGCAGCGTACCAAATGCAGTGATCTCAAGGCTAGAGGGTCCCTGTCACCCAGCAGCGTACCAAACGCAGTGATCTCGGGCTAGAGGGTCCCTGTCACCCAACATCAAGGTGTTGTTGCGCATTTTATCTATAGGTGTTACAGTAAATGAACACCAATGAAGAACTCCGCAGAGGGGCCATTCATAGGTGACTGTTAAGTACCAGGTGGGGTGGTCCACACCTGTAGTCCCTTCTACTCAAGAGACTGACACAGGAGGGTCACACACGCACAAAAGCTGGAGTCTGGACTAGATGATACAGTGAGACTCCCCCAACTCAACACACATGTGCGTGTGCACACACATACACACATGAGCCTGCGTGTATGCATGCACGTGCACACACACACACACACACACACACACACACACCCCTTCTAGGAAAGCAAGGGTCTGGAGGTTGTCCAGCTGAGGACAGGCTCTGGAGAAGACAATGACAGCCAGACTTGTCACAACTGGAGCCAGCTCTCTGGCTGACATGGAGCCTGGAGATGGGGGGGGGGGGGGGGGGGGGGCGGTGTCAGTGTGTGCAGAAGGCGCCCATGAGCAGGGAGCCAAAAAGTGAACCCCCAAGGTCTGGGGGCTCCAGAGTCTTTCCACATCTGATCTGAGGAGGCCAACAGATGCCCATTAGCTTTGCCTTTCCCACACAGCCTCCTTTAGGAAGCACCATGAGTAAGGGCCCCACGGCCAGGCCAGGTGGTCCTAGCACAGAGACCAGATGCAGGCTAGTGGAACAACCCACTGTAAGAGCTGCTGTGTATTTGTCCCAGAGAGCCTGACACTCTGCTGGCAGAGGACACAAGGCACGGGAAGAGGCTGCAGCGAGTCGGCACCACCCTTCCTGGCTTGCAGGAGTAGGGACAGATGACGGGGCAGGAGACAGAGACTCAGGACCTCATGACCATCTGGGAAGCACAGCACCCCGTCAGCAGTCAGCAGCCTGAGCCACTCCCAGGAGATCCTGATCCACTTCCAGGAGGAAAAGCAGCTCTCCAGACCGGGGACAGCTTCCCCTCCAAGCATGTTGTGCAGGAAGCTGTACTGTTGTGCCAGAGAAAGGTTCAAGGCCTCTTCTCCCAGCTAGGACAGGAAGGCACGCACGACCAGACGAATTCCACCCAGAGACAGAACTGCTTAGCCCTGGTTCTCTCCCAGCAGAGATCCTATTTGAACTCAGACCACCAACCCAGGCTTTGATCTTCCCATGTGACTCCAGATGCCTCTCCCCGAGTGGGAGAGCATGTCCCGTCTGTTCCTTTGTCACCTCCTAATCACCACAGCATCTACACAGCCTCTGTGGACTCCTGTGGACCCTCCCTGAGTGTCCCGAAAAGCTCCAATGCATGACGGATCTTTCTGACCTCTCTGGGCATCAGGTCCTTCCATGTGACTCTGAGGAAGCCGGCTGGTGGACCATGAACAGCTCTATAGCGACTTGTTACTTATGCCTCGCTCGCTGGCCTGAGTCAGCCTCCTGCATGATGAGCTTAATGGTGTTACTGGGGTTGCTGAGGATGACAGCGCAGGGGACCCACTGCCAGCTGGCATGGCTTCTGTCACACACACTCACTCCCCACCCACCCGGTGGCAGATGGCAGAACTCATGGCAGTAGACATACAAACACAGGCACCAGCCCCAGCCAGTATGGGGCTTGCTGTATGGGTGCTTGTGGCAGGCTGGGGTCCTGTGGCCCTACGCTCACCTTCACAAAGCCTGGTGGCGACAGGAACATTTTTATCTGTCTTACAGATGAAGCACCCCAGCTCAGTGAGTCATTTCCCCTGGTCTGGCAGTTCTCAGCCTGTAGGTCACAACCCTTTCGTGGGGGTGGGGTGTCAAATGACCCTTCCACAGAGGTTGCCTAAGACCATCCTGCATATCAGATAATTACATTACTATTCGTAACAGTAGCAAAATTACAGTTATAGAGTAGCAAGGAAAATAATTTCATGGCCGGGGGTCACCACACATGAGGAACTGGATTAGGAAGGTTGAGAACCACTGTCTTAGTCTATGCTCTCCCTTGCTAGCAAGAATCAGGTCACACTGAGAACCTTCAGTCCGTCCTCTGTGCCTGTCCACAGTGAGGGTCTCTTCCATTCGTGCCCTTGTGTAGACTTGTGACAGCTAGCACTGGGGACAAACACAAAGGAGGGGACTCTGGCTGCTCCCTTAGTGGACGAGCCCAGAGCCTTCATGACATGCCTCTAGCAGCCACCAAACCTTGGTGATGTCCCATTCTGGGGCTGGTACACCTTCCAGCACAGTCACCAAGTGACATAAAGTTTACACTCTGCAGGGTGGGATCGGATGTGTGCTTGCGGGCTCGGGAAGGGTTTGTGTATGTACAATGTGCACAGGCGCTCACTGTGGACCTTAAGGGGAGTGCCACAAATGATGCTGGTGGGTCCACCGAGAAGGGAAAGGATGCGGGGACTGCTGGGGACCAGGGATTCCACTCTAATTTCATGACAGGTACTTAAGCCAACTAAATCACAGGCATGAAGCCTTCAGGTAATTCCTTAAGCAACTTGAGCTGAACCAATCTCTGGATTGCTGTCCTCTGGATCAAACTGGCCCCGGCTGGGCCTTGCCCTGTATCCACATGCTGGCAGGATCATTTCTTACCCGGCCAGACCTTGGGGTTGTACAAAGAACAGGAGGGTCCTGACTTGTCCAGTTAAATTTGGTTCAAAAGGATCAGAAAACGGCCAGGCTGGGGAATGCGGTTTTTAAAACCCCTAAGATGCATGAGACCTGCTTGAGACGCAAAACTGCTGAAGCCGCTAAAGTTACTCTTGATGCCACAGCTTGTACTTAACTTGAAGCTAAAAAAAAAAAAAAAAATCTAGAGATCGTGAAGAGGGATTTGTAGTGGGATAAACAAACAAACAAACACCCCAATGAAACAAACATAACAAGAAAAACACAGGAGGCCCACAGATCTCAGCCCTCTTCACACTTGAGGTGTGGGAATGTCACAGGGGGAGAGAGAGAGACAGAGAGACAGAGAATAACAAGTAGGCCAGCACAGCCACCTATACCCTGAGCCACTGGATCTGCCAGCAGGAGAGAGGGGCAGCTTAAGAGAGTTCAAGACAGCCAAAGCCCGACCCATATTTTCTTCTTCCTCTTTCCTATGAGCTTCAGCCTCAGAAGCAGCTGGGCTTCTACTTTCAGAACACCAAGTCACCTTGGGTCTTGTCACTCTCCTCTCTGGCCCCTCTGTACTGAGGACCTGCCTCAGTCCTGGCTGGGTCCATGGAGAAAGCCTGGGCAGGGTCTGACTCTGCATGTTAGTGTGGGCTTCAGGGGAGGTGGACAGCTCCCGGGGCAGGCCACCCTCTGGCCTTCAGACATCTGTAGATATGCTACAGAAGGGTAATGCCTTAAACAAGGAAAGCAGTCAGAAAAGAAATAGTATGATCAAGGGTGAGAAAAGGCAAAGGTGCTCCCAGCACTGCACCAGGGATGTGGGGTCTCTCGCCCACTTCTTTCAAATAGCTATTAGCAAGGGCTTGGTACAAAATGAAAATGAAGGGCCCCTTGTCCAAAATGTGGTAGGAATGTCCAGGCAGGGAGGGCAGGGGAATGTGACCTTTCCCCCAGGCAGGTGTGAGCTCTGCCGCAGGGCTCACCAGGGCTGTCAAGGGGCTCAGCCTCAGCGGAGCCATGTCTAGGTTATTTCAGAGGAGCGAATCTCCTGGAAAGAGCCACCGTTGTTCTGGTAGGTCCTTGACTGCCCTCCTCCCAGTGCCTGCTTGATGAGTCCTCTGCCAGGTTCGGGATTCACCACTCCACAAGGGAAGAGCTGAAGTGACAAGCTGTCGCTCACCGTCAGACATTGTCCAAACACTGCCTAGATCCTACAGTGCTGGACTCTGTTTACAGAGGCGGGGTGAAGGAGCTGAGAGCCGCCAAGCCTTGGGGCTTGATGAATAGAATCAACCTTATTTCTTCCAGGATGGACAAGTAGAGACCTCAGTGTCCCCACTGTGACTGGGTACCCCTATGGTCCCATGGAGTTCCTGGTGATACTGACCCCGCCCCCCCCCACGTGCTCTGCTCTGCACGTGGCCGAGTCCAGGCAAGCCATAAGGATTCACTTTGTCTTCTGATTCTTTTTGTTTGTTTTATTTTTTTTCCCCTCCAAGACACAGTGTACTGGCAATAATCCACCGGGCACTTCCAAACTGCCAGAGAGCAAGTGGGGCGGCCATGAGGTGAGTCAATGTGTGACTGACCATTTATGGATCCCCAAGCCCAGGCTCATAGTGCTAGACCCAGATAACATGGTCAGAGCTCAGTACCTCCATCCTACCTCCATCTAGAGCAGTGGTCCTCACCCTTCCTAATGCTGTGACCCCTTTAGCACAGTTCCTCCTGCTGTGGTGACCGCAACCATAAAATTGCTTTCATTGCTA